TAGGACATAGTATGACTTACTATGTACTATCAAACTGAACAAAACATGTAGCTAAACACTGAAGGCAGCTTCTTTTGACAACAGGTGCCAAATTCTGACTCCCATGTAGAATCCTACTCCCCTTGAAGATGCACGTCACAACAACATATAGACAATAAATTACACTGATGATTTATTTCGTTTCTATTAATAAACGTAAGTTTGAAACGTTATTTATAAAAAAATAGAAACTGTGAAAGCAATCTGTAGCATCCGTATGCCTAAGTGATCATAAACGGGAAGGTATACTGTGCCCTAAACCACATCGATAAATCTATGCAACCTTAAGGAAGACCTGGATGCAATCTGACAGGGTTGAGAGAAGTTTTAGGGATGTATTTACAGAAAACTTTTGGGTGACTATTGACTTGTAGTGTTTGTTAGCAACACTAGCCTTGTGGCTCCAGTGCTAAATCAAAGAAGCAAAATTTGCACACCAAACATGGCAAGTTTATATAATTGCACTGTTACAATTTTCTAACAGACATGACTAAAAAACAGGACTGAATGTGGATTCTGACAGATATCTGATCGTTTAATAAGATTACTGTCAATGCCAATCAATACAAATCCAGTAGACTTGATCGGGGGATCACTTATTGAAATCTATTTTCCTATAGAATTCTAATTTTCCACAGGAAATTAGAAGTGATTGGAAGCTTCTGAATGCAGCAAATGGCTACCTAGTCATTTATTTTTTAACAGAATCAAGCTGTTCTATGTCTAGTTTCTCATTTCAGGCCCCTTCAAAAATAGCTTGAACTATGGTTGGTGAAATTTGTTACTAGTTGAGCAGGTCAAGTATTTTTGAGAATTTATAGATTCAAGATAAAAAACTGGGTCCTCTTAAGTAGCTGGAACACCCACTAAAAGCTCTGGAGAGCCTTTGGCAGCTTCGTGTTTAAATTTTGTGAAAGGCAAATGTCCAGCGATACTGTGGTACACCCAGAGAGATTTATTTACACAAGGTAATGCATGAAACTCGAACTCTGTCATAACAGCGTGACATCATCTAAAACAGAGTCCCTCTCTGCAGGACCAGGTGGAAGTGTTTTGAAATAATGTTTGGAGAAGATTTAAACTAATTTCACTCAGGGATAAATGTACAGCTCTTGGAGATCATGTGCCCCACGTGCTTTTTGACCCCCCTTGGTGACTGTGCTAGAAAAGGGTCTAATTATAATTGTGCTTGAAAAATGAATTCAGTAGACTAAAAAGAATCCAGTCTCATGATATGATATTCTAGAAAATACTTGAGTGGAGATACGGAATGCACAGCTGGCACATTCTGGTCTTTAGATTTGCCACAGGCAATTTTCATACCTCAAAAATGGACAGGCTCATTCATCTGCAACAGAACATTCGTCCTTTCTGTTAACATGAAAATCACACAGCTTATTCATTAACTCCTGTGGTTGTATCTGGCCTCGGAGTTATGTTTGTACCCACTTCAGAGTAAAACGGCTCACCACAGTGTTTAACGTGGGGTCCCACCCATGCAACTCCACCCAAACACCTACAAATTTTGCAAGCATAGTGACATGAAGTTCACTTCATGGTCTTAAAGCATGTTTGAAATGGGAGTTGCCACTTTGGACTCCATGGAGCTCTGCTGAGTCCGGTGTACAGCCATGGTCTGATAATCACGGAAATTGGGCAATGGAATCATTGCATTAAGGAGTTTGATTGGTTACAGCCTTGCCCCAAACCAGAATTATTATGTCCTCATAAAACAATTTTAGCAGTTTTGGAAGAACACCAGTCAAATCTATTCCTTTTGCTATTTTGTCTCCACTTAATCAGGCTTTGCTCGGTCAATTGACCCAAAAAGAGATTCTGTTGGAGATTTTGCTGAATAATGAAAGAACTTTGCTATTATCCTTAACCCACTGAGACATAATTTAGCACTGTAGGAAAACACCCTCTAGAAGGCTTATGCTGGATCCCTGGATCATGACTGTAGGCAAAAAAAAACATTTTACATAACGAGAAGAATCTGGAATAATAAATATCTTTAAGCAGCATAAGTATACGAAATAGCAAGCTACCATGATGGATTAGCTGACAGCAAGACCCTAAAAGTTGCTCTTCAATTCTATTCAACCTTAAAAACTGCAATCAAGGGCAAACGGAGTTACATGCACAGATCAAGGGTGTAGGAAACTGTAAAAGAGAAAAACACTGCACTAAAAAAGATGAGAGAGGCTCCAGGAACATCTAAATCATCCAAATTAGGCCTATAAACACGCTGCCACAGGTTCCTGTTGAACTGGGTCTCCTGCACCAAGCAGGCACTTTGTTTTCACCCAGCAACCTGTGCAGCTGCTGACAGATCATGACAAAAGCTGACTTCAATTACCTCCCTGTTTTTATGCTAAATATATTTTGACACATTAATATCCCAACAGTGAAACCCATGAGGCCTAACCACACACCTCCCTCCTGTAACTGCCTGCAAGCTCTCCGAATACCTCAGTGCAGGCTGCTCACACTGGCAGCAGACTGATGGCATGTATTAAAGCCAAGATGTTTTTCATTCCATAATGATAGGATGCACGCTAAATGCTCTTCTCCGCTCTGCATGGTGAAGCACGATGTATCAGTCCAGACATGCAGAAAGCAGAGCGAAAGTGAGAGAGAAAGAGGGTGTGAAATAAAGAGCAAAAGATAGACTGCTGGAGAGACTGTGTACATAGCTGTTAAAAAGGAGAGAAATGGAGGTGAGAAAAGTGAAGCAAGGGACTGGGCTAGGCACAGAGATGAGAAAATGTTATATTTAGAGAAGGAAATATAAGAGAATCTTGTCAATCATGGTGTGCTTAAATATCACATGATTATACTTCTGACTAAAAGTAGAAAGCTGGTTACATTTTTATATTAAGTCAAATTCATTATTTAAACAGACTGGAAATTCTATACTCCACGGCACTTCAGTCACTTCATGACAGATACTTAGGCCAGTGCCAGATGACCATTAACCTAGTTAAGAAAGTAACTTACAGCTGTAGATGAGATATTCTGTAAATGTGGCTGTTGAGCTGCACTGGTTGAACATGCTCTGTGCTGCAGGCAAATATTATGCCTGCACAAAGAGCCGCCTTTATGCTACAGTGTACATTTCAAGACATGCTCAGACCACAGCATTGGGTGTCAGACAAACATGTAAGTAAAATTAAGTCTCACCTCTTGTTCATCAGGTTAAACAGGCTGTTCCAAACAACCTCAGGCAAAATGGCTTCAAAGAAGAAGGCATTAGGCTAAGCTAAATGACAAGGTTCACTTGATATTTCCAATTCTGTTTTTTCTTAGTAGATTAATTATAGTTTTATGGCTTAATTGAAGATGACAGTACACTACAACCACAACCTTTAGTGAAGTGTGTTTTTATTATGTTTTTTTTATTTAATAAAAACAAGCTTCAACTCACATTCTATAACTCAAAATTACCCAATAAAAAAGTTGCTGTTATTATTATTATTATTATTAAATAGAAACAGAGCTACTATTTGGGTAACTAAGAGGAAAATATATGTGGTAAACAGTTTAAATGTGTCCAGGGGTGGGGCTAGGTGAGGGCAGAAGGTTAGGTTTACCACATTTATTTTCCATTTAGTCTCTTAAATACGTGCACGCTGTTACCAGCACAGGCCTGCTTCTTGGAATTTATTCTGCTTTATGTAAATCAAATTCCTGACTCCAAATGTATGAAAATAAGTATGCCAGTTTCCATGGGCAGGTAAAGTGTACAGATCACAGACATGAAAAATAACACAATTTGCTAAGCATCTACATTCCACACATGGCCTCAACCATGACCAACTTGTGGATTCTTGGTGTGGATTCTTATTTGACATTGTTTCCCCAGAAAAGCAATGAAAGAGAAAGAAAGCAAGGTAGAGAAAGAGAGAGGGAGGGAGGGAGGGAGAGGGACAGACAGAGAGAGAGAGAGAGAGAGAGAGAGAGAGAGAGAGAGAGAGACAGGGAGAGAGAGAGAGAGAGAGAGAGAGAGGATTTCCCACCGGTAGGGTGTGTAGCTATCTACAAAGAGTGCCCTCATCTTTCCTGCATTACAGCGTAAACAGCCAAGGCAGACACCAGCATAACAAAATGAGTAGCTGACGCTCTTTCACTGAACCACCAGAGTTTAAAGAAAGCCACATTGTAGAAACTCAGCCACCGTAACACAAAGAAAAACAATATAAAGCAGAGATTGACTTCTTTATTGGAGTCAAAGTGGCCTCATCTAAACCATTCACATCTCAATAAGAGCCCCACGCTGTGATATATATGCAGCAAGTGCCCTACTTTATAACAAGGAATATAATGAAGTTTTATTGAATGGGAATCTATGAGTCACTAAGTGGATTGAAAGAATAGTATCGATGAAAGGGCCAAGAGATTTTATATGACCTGACTGCAAGGTTGAGATATTCAGTTAAATATACTGCTTTTTATATTGTACTTCATAGCATATTAATATTGTTACCTTGTAGTCAGTGTAGTATATAGTTGCTGTCATATCAACATTTCATAACCCTGTTCATTTTAGACCATTTGAAAATGCCAGCTGCCCTTTACTTTGAGTAAACATTTCATGAAGATTTTGTTTAAGACTTTATTCTTAAAATCAGATTTATTTCTTTATTTATATTTTCTATTCTGAGGCTTAGTTTATGTCTAGGGTGAAGGATTACGTAGGAAATGTCTAATAACAGGGAAGTGGAAAAGCACTGTAAAGTATGCACCCTCTTAATCTGTTCAGCATGCATTAACCTGCATAAAGAAAGAGCGGAAACTCTGCATTAAAGCCCACTCACCCACATCATTAGGCCCAGTGGGCCAACTCACAGTGGTTCTCTTTATGACGTTTTCAATTTTTATACTTAAACCACACCACACAGCTAATGAAGTTTACACCGTTCTCAAATACCACTCTCAATCACATACACCTGTTGCCTTACCTTTATGGGACAGTCGTAGTCTCGGATAGTTGTTCTTTGCTCCTTGCACTTCAAAGTCGCTCCACAGGACCACACAAAGTATGAGGGCGAGGGTCCGCATGCACCCCGCCATCCTGGCACACGCACTTGTCCTGAAATGTCTCTTAGACTCGGTCCCTACCGTCCAGTGCCACTAGCCTCCATGGTCCAGAGCAAAGATGGATAGGCTTGGTTCCAGTCAGCATGCAGTCATCAGCGCATCATGATAGGAGTCAACTCGTAAATCCTCGGAGCTGGAGGTTGAGTGAGTGTGTGTGTGTCGTTATGTCCCTACGAGAGAGTGTGTGAAGCTTACAGTGTGTGTTTCCACAGCGCGGCCAGCGCTCTGCTAAAGAAAACGCAGTGCTCTGACTCAACCCTGGCTGACCGCCCTGTCAGACGCATTCCATCAACTCACACATGCACTGGGTGTGGGTGCGCACACGCACGAGTGTGTGTGTGTGTGTGTGTGTGTGTGTGTGTCAGTCAAAGGGGGCCGTGCTGATCTTGGAGAGAATGGAGGTGCACCGCTGACTTGTCTGACTAATAAGAAGCCCTGTCTCTTCCCTCTTCTCTCCACCTTTTTTTTCCTTCTCTCTCTCTCCTCCTCCACAGCTCTGTCTCTCGTCCAGTGCAGTGAAATACTGCCTCTCCACGTGCCACTCAGCGATCCTCCCCTACCGCCTGCTCCACTCCCCTGCTGCTAACATGGACTCCAGCCAAGCTCTCTCTCCTCCCTCCCACCTCCCTGCCCTCCCCCATCACTCTCTCTCTTTCTTTCTTTGCTATACTGTCTCTATCATCGATTATCTCTCCATGTCTCCGTGTTTTTTCTCCTCACTCATGCCTCATCTGTCACCTGCCATAATGTGCCTCAGGTGTGCTGTATTCCTTCCCATTCATTGATTTTTTTTTTCTTTCTTGCTTTCCTTCTTTCTTCTTCTTTCTCACTTATTTTTATGGTGCTAATACCATTGCTTTTTCTCTGTGCCTAAACACACTTTAGTGTCTCTAAAACTCTAAGCCTACTTTTAATGTCATGTTGCTTAACAGCACAAAGAAGGCAGCCTCGTCTTTCTTTTATTTTTATGGTGCTAATAGCATTGGCACTGAATATTGTCCAGTGCCTGCTCCCACTTTAGTGGCTCTAAAATTCTGCCACAACTGAATGCAGATAATGTAGATACTCAATTAACTGCTGTGCTGCTTAACAATATAAAGAGGGAAGTCTTATCATCCTGCCAGCAAGTTTTCTTCAGTTGTTAAAAATGGAAAATGGCTGAGGCAGTGATACATACAACATTATATATATATATATATATATATATATATATATATATGAATATACATCCCCATTTCCAAAAAAGTTGGGACACTGTGCAAAATGTAAATAAAAACAAATTGCAATGATGTGCAAATCATTTAAACCCTATATTTTAATTGAAAACAGTACAAAGACAACATATCAAATGCTGGAAATGAGGAATGTTACTGTTTTTTCAAAAATATATGCCCATTTTGAATTTGATGCCAACAACACGTTCCAAAAAAGTTGGAAGTGGGGCAACAAAAGGCTGCTAAAGTTGTGTCATGCTAAAAAACACCTGGTGGTTAATTGGCAACAGGTCAGTAACATGATTTGGTAGAAAAAAGCATCCCAGAGAGGTTGACTCTTTCAGAAGTAATGATGAGGAGGGGTTCCCCAAATGTGGGCAAATAGTGCAACAATTCAAGAATAAGGTTTCTCAATGTTAAATAGCAAAGAACTTGGAGATTCATCATCTACAGTACATAATATCATTAAAAGATTAAGAGAATGTGGAGAAATGTCTGTATGCAAAGGACAAGGCCAAAAACCAGTATTTGCTGGCCATGATCTTTAGGCCCTCAGGTGGCACTGCATTAAAATAGACATGATTCTGTAGTGGAATTCACTGCATGGGCTCAGAAACACTTCTGACCACTGTCTGTGAAAACAGTTGTCACGGCATCCACAAATGCAAGTTAAAACTCTAAAACGCAAAGAAGAAACCATATATGAACAGGATCCAGAAACGCTGCTGCCTTCTCTGGGCCCAAGCTCATTTAAAATGGACTGAGGTGAAGTGGAAAAGTGTCCTGTGGTCCAACAAATCAACATTTGAAATTCTTTTTGGAAATCATGGACACTGTGTCTTCCGGGATAAAGACCACTCAGCTTGTTATCAGTGCACAGTTAAAAAAAAACAGTATTCATGATGGTATAGGGGTGCATTAGTGCACATGGCATGGGTGAGGGACCAATAATGCTAAGCGATATATACATGTTTTGGCAACATATGCTGCCATCCAGACAACGTCTTTTTCAGGCAAGGCCTTGTTTGTTTCAGCAAGACAATGTAAAACCACACTATGCATATATTATAACAGCACTGCTCCGTATTAAAAGAGTCTGGGTGCTAAACTGACCTGCCTGCAGTCCAGACCTGTCAGCCACTGAAAACATTTGGCAGATTATGAAATGAAAAATATGACCAAGGAGACCCTGAACTGTTGAGCAGCTGAAATTCTATATCAAACAAGAATGGGAAAACATTTCTCTTTCAAAACTAAAGCAGTTGGTCTCCTTAGTTCCCAAACACTTACAGAGTGTTGTTAAAAGAAGAGGTGATGAAACACAGTGGTAAACATGCCCTGGTCCCAACTTTTTTGGAATGTGTTGTTGGCATCAAATTTATGATGGTCATATATTTAAAAAAAAAACAATAATATATCTCAGTTTCAATATTTGATTTGTTGTGTTTGTAGTATTTTCCTTAAAAAAATGGTTTACCTGATTTGCATATCATTGTATCCTATTTTTATTTACATTCTGCACAGCGTCCCAACTTTTTTTGGAAATGGCTTTGTATATATAATAAAATATATGTCTGTCTGGTATACCAATATGGTCTTTGAGAAGTTTTAGACGTATGTGTTTAATTTCAAATCTAGAACTGCCAAATAAATGTTCATGTGCACCAGTGTTAGATCAGTACTCAAATACTATTAAAAATCACCTGGGGCACTGGCAGAAATTAGACATCATAGAGGTGGGTTTTTTTGGGGATTTTGACCTTGGTTTTGATATTTATGGCCCCAACTAAAGCCTAAGCTCTAACAGTCATTATCTATTTGAAGTTAGAACTCAACATGGCCTGAGAGAAATGTGCACATGCAGTTTGCACAGTGCCAACCAAATGTTTATCAGCTTTCATTAACAGCTCCAGTGCAACACTAAAGAAGGAGACTCCTGACACAAAACATGCAGTGACTGATCGATAACATTTACTGTAAGGGGGAAGTTGTGTGCATTTGATTTTTTTGCCAAATCATTGCTTTAATACACAGCCAGCGCCTGATGATAAATCCCAGTAGTAGGGCTCACCCCTCAAGTTGCTCTTTTGCCCGGTGCCTCACTCAGAGCACATGCACAGTAAACAGTAAACACTTGAAAGTAATTTACTGCAGCGCAAAGGCAAATTATTCACAAAACAAACTTTCAACACTGCAGGGTTTCTGTTCTCTGGCAGATTGAGGTCACATAAAGAGGCATCTCCCCCATCTGTTACTGTGCTTGCAGTTGTGTTGGCCAATGCTGGATTCATTAAAGAGACTCTGTACTAACCACAGGCTATTAGAGGATGCACCATTAAACTCAGCTGTACTCCTCTCCTTTTCCCCCTTTTCTGTTTCACTCTTATTTCTATCGCTCTCCTTCCTCTCACCCTGTCTGGTCCATGTGCGTCTTTGTTCTTAATCTTCAGAGACCGCAGTCTAAGTTCTGACGGCTGAGGTTGTGCCTGGGGCAGCCGGCTGTGCTACTGGAGCAGCCCTGCAAACACACACATGCAAAATATGAGCCAATAGCCTGCAGCTACAAACACAGCACTGAAAAATCATTAGGGCTCCCTTCTTTAAGCGTCAATAGAATGTCATCTGATACAGTTTTCATATAGGATGAGAGGAAGTGAATGTGATGATAGCAGAACACCATGATGGCAGAGCAGCACTGTGACTTTTCCTAAGCTGATGAAAATTGATCCTTATTGAATTTTGATATGACCTCATTCTAATGCAGTAACATGGTAGGTTGGCTTTGCTTACTGAACTGATGTCATATCTCTCATCTTTCCAATTTTATCTTAATATGGGTGAATAATGAAATTATTTGAAATGATTCGGTATGACTTGTTTAAAAAATATGTAACAGAACAGCACTTTTAAAATTAAAGATGCCAAATGAAACCAGTGTTCTTTGGAGTGATGCCGTAAGATAACCAGTTTTACGCTGACAGTGAAACTTTAATGGAGCTAGTTGCCTATTGTAAGATGAATACAACATCATTTCTGTGCATGCAACATAATTTATGTGTAACCTGACAGTTACATGAAGCACTTCAACAAGCAACAAGTTTCAACAAGTTTCATGCAACACGTTTGAGTACTCCAGTAGTTAGGCAAAGTAGCAGCTTGTAGTTTTGATACCTTCGTGCTGTATAAAGTGAACTGTTAAGTGTTATTTACATTTTGCTGAATTTTTATCATCATGGTTTTTTCAGCTGTCACTGACACTCTGTTTTTCAAAATCTATATGTGTCTTTTATCTATGGCTCTTTATTTTTCTATACTATAATTTGACTTTATAAATCTGCTTTGTGTATGTATGCAGATTACAGTAAGAGCATGCTAAAGAATAAATGCAGGCACAACCAGCCATTCAAACAGCTATTAGCATAAGTTGAATAGATAACACAGCTGGTTACAGAAACTTCAGCTACGGGAAACTGTTTGCCATCATGCTAAGGAAACTGACAGAACACATTTTGAAATTTAGTTTCATGTAGGTTTCAAACAACTAAAGTTGCGTCAAAGTTTCACCAGCACTAGTTTCATACAGAATCTTTCAAAGCATGGTTCTTTAAATTACACTTTTTCTTTTCTGATAGTGATACCAATATTGAAATTGAAGCACTTCACTTAAGATGAGCATCTAAAAGCAGACTCATGCTCAAATATCATGTTCAACTACACTCTATCGCCCCACAGAAAGAATCGCATCACACAATGTGAGCATGTTGTTAACTCTCCAATGTCAGAACAGCATTTTCTGCTGATATCAGCTTAATAAGAATACCTGGTATCGGATTGGTGCAACCTCTACCATTTTTCTAAATAACACCTGCAAGTGTGAAGAACCTTTTCAAAGTTTAAATAACCTTCATATGATAAAAGGTTCTATACTATTTAGAGTATTTTTCCTTAAACCACAAACTGAAGCTTTTTTCCTTTACAAGTAAGCACTATACTGAGGTACTTCACTCTAAAAATGACAGTAAGCTTGATGGGTCGTGTGCCTACTAATGCACAGGAAAAGCATGTGTCCCCTACCTATGAATGCACTAAATCCTGCATGTGACTCCTTACTCTACATCTCAGACAAAGTACTCATACCAAATGTAAACAGTCTGAAAATCACTGCCAATATAGAGGACTCCTGTCTCTGTATCTAAAAGCTTCCATCAGTGCAAAGGATGTTTATACTGGACTGAGGGACAAAAGAATCCAGACTCATGCATCTGTCCTCCCTGTGGAGTAGCTGGACTATTACTCATCTTCTGCACCTGTGATTCCCTA